ATATATATATATATATATACGTATACCTAATATTTTCGTTTGTGACCAGGTACTTTAGTGGTTACAATCATTGACGTGAATCACATGGCACCGGAATTCTTAAAACCATGGACAAGAGAACATCCACGATATCTAATAGAGATGCAAGAAGAGCAGCCAACCGGAGCTATTGTAGGAGCATTCACAGCGGTGGATGCAGACAGTAATATAGCGGGATATGCAATTATACCACCAAGTCCCTATTTCAATATAGACAACATCACAGGTTCGTTTGAGATTGTATTACAACTGAAACACGAAAGGTACAAGAAGATGTAATAAATATTGTACGCAATCGTAGGAATTGTACGAACTAGTCAAGTTATTGATTACGAGGAGACAAAACAATTGGAGTTCACAGTGGTTGCGTATGATTCTGGAGTACCTCAGTTATCTGCAACTGCCAAGGTCATTGTCACTGTGATAAACGTTAACGATCAAGATCCTAAATTCGAACAGGAATCGTACAATGCGTCGGTGAAGGAGAACTCACCACCGGGCACGCATGTCACCGTCGTTAAAGCGACAGATGGGGACGAAGGTCCGTTCGGAGAAGTTAGTTATAGCCTGATCGGTGATCATGCCGCTGACTTTAATATAGGTAAGTTCAATTTTCTAATTCAATATCGATCGATGTTTTATTTTATAAAATATCTGTTTACGTAAACCACAGGCCACGAAACTGGAGAAATTACTGTCGGCGGTGCAACTGTCCTCGACAGAGAAATGACGCCAAATATCACGATAACAGTAATGGCCAGCGATGGTGCTCACATAAATTCACGTCGAAGCACCACTGTTCCAGTGGTTGTGAAACTAATCGACGTTAATGACAATCGGCCAATATTTACGCAACATAGTTACAGAGCTTCGGTTGCTGAGAATCTGCCAGTGAATCCACCTGCACCTATTTTACAAGTAATTATACCCCACCTGTTTCAACTTGAAGGATGAACTAGACTAAACTAGAACTAGAAAGCTGATACGTTATATATTTGTCATATAAGGTCATAGCTGTGGATCATGATGAAGGGATCAACGGAGAAGTTTGGTATACCATAATTCATGGGAATGAGAACGAATCGTTCACATTAAATCGCGAAACCGGCATTTTATATCCTGGAGCAGCACTTTTCGGAAGAGCTGGCTCATACAGAATTGAAGTGGAGGCAAGGGACGGTGCTGGTAGTGGTCCACATTCGGACAACTGTTCTGTTGATATACGAGTAACATCAGTAAATCAACACAAACCCCAGTTCGTTCTACCAGAATTAACAAACACTACCGTCGAAGTGCCTGAGGTGAGTGTAAATATAGATCTCTTCGTTTACAAAGCATTACACGTGTATAATAACGGACAAACATTTTTTTTTTTTTAGAACACAGGTGTACTGAATTACTTGATATTGACGGTAAAAGCAATCGATAGAGATCCTGGTGAGAACGGACGCGTGAGTTATCACTTGAAGGTTGGGAATCGAAATACCCAAGAAACCGAGGAATTTTCAATAGATCAAGAGACCGGTGAATTAAGATCGAAAATTATCCTCGATCGTGAAGTGAAGAGCAAATTTGAGGTAAATTCTAATTCACGTATTAGAACTAACGATCTTCCATGTGAATTGTATTTAAAAATAAGACAATAACATTGGATTTGATGTTTCAGCTTGTTCTTGTAGCTGCTGACCACGGTACTCCTACGGCATATGAAACTTTGCGACTACTTACTGTACAGTTAGTTGATACGAACGACAATGCGCCACAATTTTATGACGATTATCATTTTTCTATATCAGAAAATCGTCCGAAAGACTACTTCGTAGGGAAAGTAACCGCGGAAGACAAAGATGAAGGCAGACACGCAAAAGTTTACTACTACATAGAGGCTGGTAAATAATGTTGCAGCAATCTGTTATATGTGTGATTACTCGACAGAGGTAAATTCAAATATCTTTTCCAGGAAACGAAAATTACGCATTTTACATGGACAAATCTGATGGTAGTATATACGCAAATAGATCATTCGATCGTGAAACTCGGGACAAATATGTTTTATCGATACTGGCTTCCAATAATCCTGATATTTATATAAGCCCTGCAGACGCAGGACGCCCACTAATGCACAATACAGATCATGGACACGTAAATGTTACCATAACCATTCTAGACGAGAATGATAATCCACCGATATTCGAGCGTAATGATTACTACGCTGGTGTTAATTCAATGGCAAATGTTAATGATTTCGTAACAAAAGTAACAGCGTCAGATTTAGATGCTGGAGATAATGGAACACTTCATTACTATGTTGCCAGTGCAAACCTCTATAAGTATGGATCAGAGAAACCTAGTGGCTCTATAGTTCCGAGTCCTTTCAATGTAACACAAGATGGTAAACTCGTTACAAGTGGATATATGGCCGAATATAATCAGGACAGATTCATCGTTGAAGTTATAGCGAAAGAAACTGCTATTCCGGAGAGATACGCCATGACTAGGGTTCATGTAAGTTACTTCATACGCGAGCACATCTCTTTGTACGTTCTCAACTTCTTGATTTCTTTATCTTTCATGTCTATATAAAGGTCTGGGTATTCGAAGCCTCGCAATTAATAAGAGTCATCTTGTCAAAGTCTCCGGAAGAAGTAAATCGTGAACGCGATGAAATTGTATCAGAATTATCGAACGCAACTCAAAGCAGAGTTGTTGTTGATGAGATACGATACCACGTGGATGCGTCAGGTCATATTCGCAGAGAATGGTAAAAGAAAACTAAAGCTAAACATTTGAAACAATTGATAAATTAACTATTTTCCGCTGAGCCGTTACAATTTTCATTGTACATCCGCCATTACAACGGGAAAGAGTTAATGTGTAGTTTTTCAAGAACGTGACATTTCAATGCAATTTACAGGTGTGATATGTATTTACACGTAGTAGAACCAAAAACCCAAACCATTGCTCCCATTCCACAAGTACTTAAGGTTATCGATGCAAAATATGACTTCCTGAAGGATTATTACGCCGGTTTTGCTATTGAAAATGTTGTGGTGAGTATTTCTTATATTTAAAATCAAAGATAAGACAGTAACAATGCGTTAATTGATATAACTTTTCAGCCTGCTTATGCTGGAGTGCAAGAAGAACCATTCGATCCCGCGTTAGCGGCTTTAATAGCCTTACTGGTAGTTTTATTAGTTGGTGCGGTTACTGTAACAGTAGTTTGCTGTTGTTTACGACATTGGTAAATGTTAAACTTATCTTTCTTTTAACACAAACAACATAAAATTGATTATATTACACGATATTTTAGGGTAATCACTGTGCCAAATGATATACGGAAAAAGGATGGTTTAATAAAAAAACAAATTATTGATGAATTAAATACTACAGAAAATCCTTTGTGGATTGAGCAGTGAGTAAAGATGTATCCTTTGTAAAAATGTATTTCATAAACATATTTATAATATAATGTTTATTTTTTAGAAAGCTTAAATTGTACGAGGAACAAGAGTTGACGATGCAAGTATTTAGTGAACCAGAAGGTGGTTTAGGTACGGAAAGACGAGGAAGTGGTGTAAGTGTTGGAATGGGTGACACATCTCAGGATAATACCTATGCTACTATTCAGCGCCCGTTACCTACGAACAGGCACCGTCCAACAACGCCGGATTATACAACGCTTCCAGGAAACCATAATGTATATCAGAAAAATTATCATATAATTAGTTGAACTATGATATATTCAAAAAGAAAAGTAAACGTATTTACGTCGCATCTTCTATTTTAGCTTTATGAATCAGCCATTGGTTTCCAAGGATCAACATTTCAACCATCCTCGAATGTAATGCCTCAATTTACACTTGATCGTGATGGTCAACCCCAGTTTGTTTCAGGGCTAGTATAAATTAAGTTTTATGCCAATCCCTTTTTTAATCAATAATATAACTTTATCACCATACGTTGTACCTCTCTAATCACGGCTCTAACTGTCGCACGCGCCTTTCCGAAATTACACTCGCATGCACACACCTTTTCGACAATAATCGGATAATATCGTTAGGTTTGTCTGCGAGTAGACGCGTGTACAAGAAGAGCACAAAAATTATCCCGAATTATGCAGAAAAATCTACTCTGACTGTACCTTTTGCTATTTCAGTTCGAACTCTTCGACTCAGTGAAGAATTCAAAGTGAAGAGTAACGACGAACGACAGTCAATATTACTGGAATAAATATTTCCCCCGTAGCTGGTGTGTGCATGTATATATGTGTGCGTTGCCAACCTATGGTCTTATCTAACTAATTGTTAGGTTCACTGTTAGGAAAATCAAAATTGCTAGACGATAGACACTGTGAAATAGCTTAATGACCGAAGCTTGGCACGACAGATATATGTATATAAATGAATGTGTAGACTCCGTCCAGCGCAATTTTCTGATTACTTCCTCACTAGTTTAGTATTTATATAACTTATGTACGTTTTACAAGAAAAAAAGAAAAGAACGTACTTATAGTGTCATTATCTTCTATATGAACAAATGAGTCACTGCCATATCATGGCATTAAAGCAAAAAATTGTTCTAGATAAAAAGAACAAGCTCATGATGTTAAAAATATTTGTAATAAGGAAAATTCAATCGAAGTATCAACATATATCATAAGTTCAATTATTAATTTACAATATATGTTATATTTATTTAAGTTAGGGTTAAATAACTGATTTTATCCGATCAATCTGTGATTTGATTACGCCCGCGAATATACGTGACAGTTAACTTACATTTGAGATTCTTTACGACTCATTGGCGATGGGCGGATATAGTCATATCATAGCTAGTTAAATGGAGACGTTCGCATCAAATTTCAATGTTATGTAACAACATAATCATTTCGCATTATCTGCGAAGACCACATCGCTTTTCATCACCTAAACCGTCCTCAACGAAACATATGCATTGGGGTCTGTGAAATTTATTGCGAACGGCTCTGATCGTACTGTATATCATATACTCGAAAAACAATAACTTAACTACAATCATGTTATGTCTATAAACATTTAATGTAAAACTAATATCAGTATCACAATATTACTAGATGGTTATTAATATTCCAGTTAGTAAAAGTATCTGTTTATTGATTATAAATTTATTGTAACATATTTTATGTAAGTCATTGATAAAAAAAATATTCGTATGTCAACATTCATCACATCTTACATCATGTGGAAATAAATATTCAAATCTGTGTATATTCAATTCTTTTCAATATCTTTCACAGAGTTTTCTTTATCTAAATTCCTCTTTTGTGCCTCAACAACGGACTTCTCATCTACTGATTTCGATGTATAATTAAGAACTACTGAATTCGGTTGTTCAGTCCATAATTTATATCCTTTTTTTGTAGGATACCTTTTAATGCTTAAGCATGTTAAACATGTCCACTTTATACCTTTCACTGGTTTTGATACTAATCGTACTCTTGCAGTTTCACCAGGTATAAGTGGAGACTGACAACATTTACAAATTGTTCTTTTAATATCTGACTCTCTGAAAAAGAAAGATTATATGTATCTTTTGCTTAACTAATTGAGATTATAATTAAATAAATTTAAGACTATAAGTAATTAAATATATTATAGATAATTAAATTCTTAAAACTCACATTCTTAGAACCGATTTTTTTGCACAACCAACCATTACATTGCCGTAATATGATGCTGCAACTCTGTTTTTTAATGCCATTAAGTAACTTGCCTGAAAGTACAGTTTTTTATTAATAATTATACTTTAATTTCTAACAATAAGATATGAAAAACCATTCAAGATTGTTATTACCTGATATAAATAATTCATTCTTTCAAAGATATCTTTACCTTGACATAACTTTGTATTCGCATCTATAATTATAAAACATACGTACAATGAATATATATATATAAATTGCTTATATATGTAAATATGCTTACTTGTACAAATATATCTTGAAAATATATAATAAAATATTTTTTTACTAACCCATATTTTCTATAAAAATTTTTAATTATTTTAAATTTTTTTTGTGGAAAAATACTTTCAATATAATGGTTGGTACTATAGGTTATGTTTAACACTTGTACCGTTTGTCACACGAATACAAGTCACTAAACAAAGAAGGTACAAAGAGAGTATAAGTGAAATGTAGTACTTTATTAAAATTAATATTTTAATTAATATAAAATTAAAATATATATGTCTATATTATATAATTAAATATTAATTAAAATTCAATACGTAAAATTCAATATATATGTATATATTATATAATATATATGTATATATTATATGTCTGTATGTATGTATATATGTATATATATATGTATATATGTATGTATATGTATGTAATATATTATATGTATATATGTATATATTATATAATTTAATTAAATATTAATTAAAATTCAATTTTATTTTAATTAAGCTTTATCTTCATTTTACTTTTATGTTACAACATAGTTATGAATAACTACTAGGTTAAAGATTGTACTCATACATTTTGAGGTTATTTGAAACGTGAGATATGACATATAAAAACAAAACTTTTTTCAAATGATTTAATTTTGATTTTAGTGACTAAATTTACAAAAAGTATAAAAATATATATGTGATTATTATTTAAATTTTACAATTTGAAAAATTTCATTTTTTCAATATATCATAAAAATGCCTAGAATAAATTGGTTCTTGTGGACGTTCTCTTCCTGGAGTGCATAAATAATCTTTATGTATAATAGAACTGTCATTAGAAACAGATGTCATATTATTACTTAAAGGCACATTTTGTTTTAATTTATACTTCCAACTAAGATTAGGAGTAAATTCCACTTCTAAATTTTCTGTTTCCTTAACTGAATTGTGATCAGAGTTTGTTGTACTGTTAATATTTGTTCTACAAAAATTGAAATAAGATATTAAAATAATTAATGTTTCATTAATGGAATATTGCAAATTAAATACTTACTCATCTGAAACATTACTTTCATTATACTGATAACCATACTCTGCAAGAACAATATCCAAATTATCACACTGCTCTTTTAAAGTTTCATATTCTGCCTTGCTTTCTTGGAATAATTCTTCCAATGAATTGTCCAACTTGCAGTTTTTCATATCTGATAAAATTTGTTCAACTCCATTCTGATAAAATTAAATTAAAATAATAATGATTAGAAGCTTCAAGGAGCGTTAAATAATACTAATATAAGTAAATATTAATAATTTAAAAAAAAAATTATTATTTATATGATATAAACCTCTGTATTTTTTATAATATTCCATATAGCGTCGATATAACAATTTGTTTCAGCGGTACATTCCGTGAAACGCCCAACTAAAACATGCGGAAGTTTCCACGTTGTAATTAATTTTTCAATACCATCATCAAGATATCGAGCTTGAATTATAAGTTTTTCAAAGTTATTTGAACACATTGCACAAAAATTATATTCACTCTTTCTGTTTTTTAACTGACATTTCAAATGCTTAAGTTAGTATTTTAAAGTAACCGTACATACTTTAGCCAACATAACGCACAGAATCCCCTACATGAGTTTTTATGTTTTTAATATCATTTTGTTGAATTAAAAACCATGAATATCTTTTATTTATATGCGTATCATTAAGTACTAACAAATTTGCAACTAAAATAATACAATGAACTCTCGGAATTTAATTTTTAAATAAAGAAAATTATAAAATTGTAAAGTATAAATTATATATATTGAGAAATAATAATATTACACAAAAGTTTAATTACAATACTATCGATATAATTACAACACTAAAATTTAATTAAAAATTATTTATTATCTTTACATACAAGTATTCAATTCGACAAATCTGAATTTTTTATATTAATCTCTTTCCATTAATTTATTACGCTCAAGATTTTTCGATGATCAAGATTATATAGTTGTTTAATGTTATTTATGAACAATAAAAAATTAAAAATGGGGTTTTCAAAATTAAATAAAGATACATTCAATACATTTCAAAAATAAATAAAGATACATTCTTTATACATATATAAAAATTAATGTTAAATAAAAAAAAAATGTTTCTCATGAATAAATGTCAACTACTTAATATATAGAAAATGAATAAAAAATTAAGGAAGCGTATCGAGACAGAATATAAAAAGTTTTAATTATTGAAATAGTCGCATATATAAGTACATATGTAAAATTAATCAATAAAATTATACAAAGAAAATAACTTAAATCATTCGTGTGTATTCAGTAATTACATTATAATATGAAACTTTGTATAAATACATATATCAAAATCGTAAAAAATTAAATATAGAATTATCTGTTGTACGTCTGACATGATCAATACTATCTCTTTATAATCATAGTAATAGGAAATAATCAGTTGTTAATATCAACGTAGCAATAAGGTATTCTTAAACTTATCCGCATTTTAACTGGTGAGAAACTGCTTTTGACCTACTGAACATGCACTTATGTCGCACCAACGTCCATTTGCAGACACAAACGCTCGTAACGGATTCTAGGGGAACGTTAATGACGACAGTGTGAACAGTATAGGAAAAGCTACATAAATGTGAAATTGTAACCGCACATGAACGCGGTTCATGAATATATGATATTAGGTGAAACGGATAATGGCTACTGCAATATTGTAAGAAAAAGAGTTTCGTTTGACAGCAGTAGAAATGTAGTTCGCGTAACTCAAAGAACGTTTTGTGATTAATTGTACATAAAGATTTTTTTCAATTAACTAAGGTTAATAACAAACTCATTTGTTCCATGACTTCCTTACTAAATAATACGTGAGTATAAAAGTTTTGTACGATAGAAATTAAACTAATTAGCATGACGTAAAATGAATACAATTAATATCATTCTATATGAAGTAATGTATGGATCTATATGAAGTTTGAACATAGCAATTTAAATGATTCTCTGCAAAGGTAAATTTCTGTTTCAAATATAATTTGTAGAGATATAATTGACTATGATTTTAGGTTAACAAAAAATGACAGTATTAGAAACAGAAGAAGATGCAGATAAACGTTCAGTTCCTCCTAGGAAGAAATTTTGCTTATCCCTTTCTGGTCGTGAACGTACAATTTCTAGCTTCATTTCTCAGGCTCCTCAGACTTCAGAGAGAGAGAGCCTTTTGAACAGAGATACCTGTACACATAGTATGTAAACTTTGTTATTTTATAAATTTTTATATTGCAGTTATTATACATTAATCGTAATGTCCATTAACTATGAAGGTACAATCAAAATGTTGAATGGTTATCGCAATCAATTGAGCAATCACCAAGATGGAAGCTATGATGTATCAAACAGTGGTACAGAAGGATTAAGAATAGCTACTTTATGTAACTTAGGAAATACATGTTTTCTGAATAGTGTGATATATACTTTAAGATTTGCACCATCCTTTCTACATAATTTGCATCATTTGGCCACTGATTTGTCTAATTTAAATGATAAGCAACTTCAGACAAAAGTAAGTAGTATTATCATCTTGTTAACGATATGTTTTTTAAAAATTTTATGTAAAAATAGGGTAACATAAAATTATGTGTTTTATATTAGATAAAGTCATCATCTTTGGGTAGAACTAGTGTGTCACTTACATCAAGTGGCAGTCGAAGTTGGAGTAGTAAAGATTTATTAGCTTTAGCTGGACCTACTGGGGATAGTAATAAACATAGAATACAAATAGCTACTGAGAAGTTACATGAGTTATTCATGGCATTACGTGCATCTGAAGCAAGAGAAAACAGTGAACCATACCAGCCAGATGCGTTTTTGCAAGCTCTCAGGTAAATATATTAGATAACTAGAATATATTAAATACTGTAATACACATATATTCTTCTTTTTACAGAGATGTGAATCCTATCTTTGAAGGAAATCAACAGCAAGATGCTCACGAGCTTTTAGTGTGTTTATTGGACAATATCAGGGAAACATTCCAGTTGTTGGTCAGACATAGAGAAAGTCAATTTGGACAAAATAACGACGGATTATCAGATTTCTCTACAGAACATTTAACAGATGTACAATCAGAAGGTAGCAATTCCAATAAAAGAAGCATTCGTAAATCTAGGAAAAAGAAAAAAATAACAACAAGAGGAAGTTCTTCTTGTCTTGTACAGTCGAATTTAAACGGCGTATCAGTATCTTCTAGACCGTATGAACATATGAAGTATTATATGAAATATTGTATGAAATACGAGAATGGTCATGCTGAATTTCCGGAAAGTAATGGAGATATAAGTAGTCATAGATTGGAAAGCAAAAAATGCTTTATTTCTGAAGATTTTGAGGGAGTTAGCCTTTTGCGAACTACATGTCTGGAGTGTGAACATGTTACAGAACGAAAGGAAACATTTTGCGATATATGTGTGCCTATTGATATAGACAGATCAAGTGAAAAAGGTATTAATCGATTGCCTCGGTACAGTATATATCGATTAACTCGTAACGATTAAATTTAAAGCTATATTTATTTACAGATAAAGAAGTAAGACCAATGGATAGTAGTGAAGTATACAAACGCGCCGTTGTTACTAGTGAGCTTCTTTGGGGTCGGGATAAATATTGGTGCGCTCGTTGTCTTCGATATAATGAAGCTCGTAGAGCTGTTTGTTTTCCGTCTTTACCAAGGCTGCTTATATTGCAGTTGAAAAGATTTTCTACAGCAGCGGGGTAAGATTTCACTTTCTGACTTTTATTTATTGCAATGAAGAAAACAAGATTTCCTTATTTCATACAAAAATATACGTTACATTAGGTCAATGGAAAAAATTAATAATCACATGCCAACACCGTTAACGTTACAATGTTTCTGCGAAGAATGCAATAATGATCAAACACGGGGAACTACAGGTGGCAGATCAGAGTCACGACATGTATATAAGTTATATTCTGTAATTATGCACCAGGGCGCGACAATGACAGCTGGTCATTATGTTGCTTATACCCGTTTGCCTGATGAATCTGCGTTCTCGGAATATTTCCAATGCGATCGAGACAGTAAGCGACAACCATCTGCTCAGGGTAGTAGCAGCGCAAATACAAACTCGTCTTCATCAGACAAAACATCGGGTATATTAAAATACTTTAGAAGTAAACCAAGTGCTAGCGAGACTAAGGAACAATTAATCAGGTTTGGTTGTCGTAGTATGGATTGTTGTGGTATTCGACGACATAAACATCCTAGCACGTGGTTGGAATGTGATGACGAAGCAGTACATGTAATCCCATTACGAGAATTAGAAGATAAACTAGCGCCAAATCCGCGAAACTCCGCCACTCCTTACCTCCTGTTCTATGTGAGATCTATGACGTAAATATTTTTCTCCTTCGAAAACGTAAGAAAAAAAAAACAAAAAAAAAACAAAAAACATATGTATATCAAGTATTAAAATTAAGAGTGCAATGGGCCTTGTTCCTTCCTATTAACGACTGCGCTGTCACATTCCACATCTGTTTACTCTGTACGTATTGTATCAGGCTTAGATGAACGTGTATAATTTCGTAGAAAATAAATTATGTATTAAAATCATGTTAAACGTTAGAATTTGATAGTTAAATGATACACAATAAATTCTCCAATCTACGCGATAAATGCTACCCAGATCTTGCTATTAATACCACGAAGTGTCAATTTGTATTTAGACGATTAATGTTAGCCGGGACGGGGAGTGTTTTATTTTTTAAGTTAGCTCTGTAAAAATAAAAGTGTGTATTCTTTGATTTTATTTCCCTATTCTTTTCAGCTTCAGGTACTTTCCATTGTAAGTGGAAGTGCAAAAAAATTATGAAATTTATAATAATTAAATAAGGTTATCCTAGACACCTTCATTATATATATTTTTTATTAACCGTATTGTTTTCTTCCGCATGCTGTCGAAAACATGTATTGTTTTATCTTTTATTTTTTATTTATAAGAACGATAACGAAGGGAAAGCATTTATAATATTAAATCGATAATATATTCTTTTTATATTTTTTTGTCAAATTATAAATACATTTCTTTAGATATATAATTTTTATACTCTTACTTCCTAAACAGAAAAGAAATTATTCCATTAGTTTTACAGATAATTTAAAACAATTATAATAATATTGTTTGCGAAGATAAGAATTAAGAATTTATGATTTAAAGATTTCTAATTTCTAAGTTCAATTATTAAGTACGTGATCGTTGTCGAATGTGCGAAAATCAATCACTCGTATAGCTTGTAATAAATATTTATACGTCCAAGAAGTAATTCAGAAGCTCGTTAAGCGATTATTGTTAAAGGATAATAACAGATTGAAATAGAACAGTGGAACAGTGAATTAGTAATTGCGGTGAAATGTTCTGTTTACGTTGAAATATTTGTAAGACGTCAGGATGTCAGTTTAATCATACGTGGCTATATCCATATATCGATTGTTTCGATAGGGGTCAGTAGTGAATAGTCGTGTTTCACCTGCCAGCCTGACGTATTGTCATTTCTTCTACTTTCGACTGGCGTTCGACATACACATATACCTTTCGCTGTTTTTTTTTTAATATAAAAAATTTTCCTAACTTGGACATGATTGCATCGTTGTTTCATTAAGGAAAGGTAAGTCAGCCGTAATAACGAGTTGTATGCAAATTTTAACGTTATCAAGGCGAAATCAAATTTTGCGCGCTACGAATAAGCAGAATTCAAACGAAAGTAGAACATTCGTGTATACGTTGCAGTGTGAACATATATTTTTCATATTCTTATTATATTTATTGTTACAACACGATAG